GCAAAAGGACCAAGCTGGACCCTTCATATGCAAATATAATTCAAATGCATCAAACACTTCAGGGCTAAAACTGCTGGGTTGGCTAAAAAGTCTGTTTAGTTTTTTCTGTATAATAAAAGATACATTTTTCATTTGCACCAATAACTTTGTGGATTTGGATATTTTGAGCATGTTGGCTAGCTCCTGTGTAGTAGAACATTGATTGTTCTCAACTAATGTCTTGATCGCTATGAACTTCAACTGGTCTACCTGACCATGGAGCATCCATCAGAGAGAAATCTCCAGCATGAAATTAAGCAAACCACTTTTACCATTTCTGAGCAGTCACAGCACCTTCTCTATACACTGCACAAATCTTTTTTGGCATTTCAGTTGTGTTTACCTTTCTTAAAATAACAAAGCATGATAAGCCAAAAATGTTGGGTACTTTCTTCCATCTTCAGTATTAAAATGGCTACACAAAAATTCACCAATTTTGATAAGTTTTTTTAAAAATGCACATTGATATGACAGCTTCACAATATAATCTAACAAAATTGTTTCGAATGAGATTTAAAGACAACTAAAAGCTACTAGAACCATCTTATGGAAAAAAATCAAATGAACTGTTTTTTTAAAGATTTTATTTATTTTAGAGAGATGGGAAAGGGAGGGAGAAAGAGAGGGAGTGAAACATCAATGTATGGTTGCCTCTAGCACAACCCATACTGGGGATATGGCCTGCAACCCAGGCATGTGCCCTGATTGGGAATCAAACTGGTGATGTTTTGGTTCACAGGCCTACGCTCAATCCACTGAGCTATACCAGCCAGGGCTCAAATGAACTTTTTAGCCAACCCAGCAGAAAGCTCTTATGATTGAAAACACAGAGGAAAAGTTTCATGACACTGGATTTGGCAATGATTTCTTAGATACAACACCAAAAGGACAAGCAACAAAAGACAAAAATAAATTGGACTTCATTAAAATAAAATGAACAACTTTGAGTATCAAAGGATGCTATCCACAGAGTGAAAAGGCAACCCACAGAATGGGAGCAAATGTTTGTAAATCATGGATCTGATATGAGATTAACATCCAGAATATATAAAGAATTCTTACAACTCAACAATAAAAAACAAACTAACCAATTTAAAAAATGTGCAAAGGGCTTGAACAGACATTTTGCAAAGGTACACAAATGGCCAATAAGGACATGAAAAGATGTTCAACATCATTAATTATTAGAAAAAATGTAAACCAAAACCACAATGACACACTTCCCACTCATTAGGATGGTTATGTTAAAACAAAACAAAACAAAACAAAACACCCTTATGCCCAGAAAATATCAGGTGTTGGTGAGGATGTGGAGAAATTGGAACCCTTGTTCACTTCTGATGGGAATGTAAAATACTACTGCTGCTGTAGAAAAAGTATGGCAGTTTCTAAAAAAAAATCAAACAATTACCACATGATCCAGCCATTCCACTTCTGGGTATATACCCAAAAGAACTGAAATCAGAAGCTCAAACAGATGTGTACATACCAGTGTGTTCAGAGCAGGGTCACTGACAATAGCTAAAAGGTGGAAACAAGCAAATGTCCACTTACAGATGAATAAACAAAAAGGGGTACATACATACAATGCAATATTATTCAGCCTTAAAAAGGAATGAAATTCTGATTCATGCTACAACATGGATGAAACTTGAAGACATTATGCTATGTGAAATAAGGCAGATACAACAACAACAAAACAAATATTGCATGACTCTACTTAAGTAGTACCTAAAGTAGTTAAAATCACAGAAACAGAAAGCAGAAAAGTGGTTACCAGGAGCTGTAAGAGGAGAGCAGGTGGAGAATTGCTGGTTAATGAGTAGAACTTCAGTTTGGGATGATGAAAAATTCTGGAAAGGGATCATGATGATGGTTACACAACCTCGTGAATGTACTTAATATCACTTAGCTGTACATTTAAAAATGGTTAGAATGACAAATATTATGTTGGGTAAATGGTAAATATTATATCTTACCACAATAAAAAATACTTGTGTGTTATTTTATTATGGTGGCAGTATAGGAATATGGTTAAAAATACAAGCTCAAGAATTATGCTATAAAGCTCTACCACTCTGTAGTATTCTTTGCCTGTTTTCTTAGATATTAACAGAACTTATTAGTATTATTGCAAGAATTAAGTAAATTAATACATGTAAAGCACTTAAAATAGTGCATGTCATATAATAGAGACTTTTTTATTATTATGGGTTGTTTAAAGTACATTTTTAATGAGATTTAAGTCAAACACCTGCAGAACTTCTGAAGGTCCTCAAAATTCCAGAGTTCAGTAAAACACATTGAAAACCAGTGATCTAATCCAGCAATCTGCAACTGGTGTGCCGCAAGAATTTTTAAACTACGCAATATCTGACTATTTATTTAATTAGGGGCACTGACCTCTTTTTCCTTAGACTGACAAATAAAAAAATGACAACAGCCAACACAACAACAGCCATCTGGTGTGAATGAATCAAAATTACACCAACTTTTTTGTCAGATCAGCAAAAATCGGCATTTTGGGTGTGCCACAGAATTCTAGTAATTAGTTTGTATGTGCCATGAGATGAAAAAGGTTGAAAATCACTGAAGGAATGAACCCATATTGCTCATTTTATAGGTAAAGAAATTGAGAGTCACATATCTTGTTTCACTAATATTAATTTTCCTAAAATAAGAGGTGGGGTTAATAATACCAATGCTAACATTCAACTACTTAAGAATGGAGGCAAAGCCATGAGATTCGTGTCTAAGTCTATGAATAGCCTGAGAGTCACCCACCGCACTAATCTGATAAATAATTACCCATGACTGGGAACCAAAGGTAGCAAAACCAAAAGAAAGCCATTTTAATTATCTTCAAAGACAAAAGTTAAAAACACCCCTGTGGAAAATTAAGTGTTAAAATATTTGTGAAAAAAATGATATGAATTAAGAGTTGGAGACACACCCAACATATGCCTACTACTCCACTCCAGTTACTTAATATACAGTCTTGGTGAGATTTTTGTATCTGAAAAACCAGATGCTTTTTTCTACCAAAGAGAGGACTTATCTACAAATAATTCTTTATTAAATCCAAACAGAAGATAGTAGTAATCCAAGTAACACAAAATGTCTAATCCAAAAAAAATCATGTGCTAAGCTTTGTAGACATCTCTCTATACTTCAACTGAATAGGCTAGATCTGGTTTCTGGGAAATTCACAACACAAAAAGCAAAATAACAGAGACGATCTTTGAAGGTCAGACTCAACAAGAGCTAAAAACCTTTGGCGTGTCTGTTTTGCCCTCCCCTCATTGCTCTTCCTCCACTGATCGGCTCTCAAGAAGAGCACCACTTCTGCTTGGAATGTCCTCCCCCTCCAAAGCCACACCAGCTGAAATCCTAGCCATCCTTGAAGGTTCCACTCCAATGCCGCAGTTTCCATCAATTTCCCCCCAGGGCTGCCAATCTTGAATTAAGTTTTTTCCTCTACACTCCCCTACTTCGCACCTCTACTTCAACATTTTATTATATAATTCATTGCATTACAATTACTTAACGTTTACTTCTTCCCTCTCCTTCCCCTAAGAAAATCCCAAGGGCAGTGGGTGAGGGAAGAAAGGAATGAACATTCGTTAAAACCTCAGTGCCAAGCAAGGTGCTAGGTACTTTGCACACGTTATCTGGTTTAATCTGTTTGACGACCATCTGCGGAGGGGAGCAGGTGGTGCTGTTCCCACATTACCGATGGAGAGTTCAATAGCTCATCCGACGTCACACTGCTAAACCAATTACAGTGCTCCGTGGAACCGCTGGCTTCCCCGGCTTCAAAGAGCTCCTTCCACCACTGTGAGCCGCAGGTCTGGCTCACTTGTGTCCCCCTCCTTGCCTAACAGACAGTGGGTATTTCACAAATACTTGCTGAATTTAATGTCCCCATGGACTCGGTCCCACCGGTTTCATAACCTGATTCCGCCCCACCCCTGACCCGTCACCTTTACTGTTTGTTCCTTTACAGTGGACTTGACACACACAGACAGCTCTCCGCATTTCCACAGAGAAATGCTGCAGACATCAACCCTCACTGGGAGGCACAGTGAAGACCTTCCAGTTCTCCCGGATTTCCCCGACTGTTCTTCCCCCAGAATGTAAGAAATGCACACACCACACACATCTGATATAACGCCTATAGTCTTCCAAAAAGGTCTTAATTCATACTGAACCATGTCGTCGTGCTTACAAGCAATAAGTCTTATGCGGCTCCCAGCTCCCACTGTGGGGACACCCTAAGATACTGTCTGAATGAGATCACATCTTTCAAACCGTCTTAGAAGGAAGGCATCCCAATGGGATCACACTGCCTCCCTCCCCCCCCACCCCCACCCATGAATTGCAGTTTGGATTTCCGGCGGGAATACACACAGAAGGATGAAATGGGGCTCAAAAGCAACGGAGCAATTACTTCTCAGCCTGCTTAATTAGAAAGAAGACATAGAAGGTGCCCCACCTTTCTAAGTCTCTGCACTGAACTCCAATGCGAAAGACGGAGTGAGGGGGGGCGCCCAACCTGAGGAACCCCAGACATCGAATCACTGCCTTCTGCAGCGGGTCGGGGGAGAGTCCTTTCCTCCCCGCGGTCCCGGGCCACCAGCTCCCCGTGCCGCTCGGAGGAGCCCAGCCGCACCCTCCAAGGCGGCCCTAAACCTCATTGTCTCCCTCTGCCGCGGCCCCCAGGGGCGCAGGGTGCTGCCCAGGCCCCGCCGACTCCCGTCCGCCGGTCAGCCGGCTGCCCTCGCCGGACGAGGTCCAACCAGCCCCGGCCGCGACCCCGCCCCAGGTTCGGCGATCCGCACCGCGCCCGGATGGCGGGGCCGGGCGCCGGGAAAATGGAGACGGGAGCGGCGGCTGTGCCTCGCAGCCCCGCGCCCGGCGGGTTCCCAGCGCCAGCCCCGAGGGTGAGGCTGGACACTCACCGCTCCAGCCGCTCGGTCCTCCGCTGGCCCCGGCTACTGTCGCGGCCCCGGGCCGGGCAGCCGCCGCCTGCGCTCTTCCAGCCGCCGCCGCCACCGCCTCGTCCCCAGGCGCGGCGCTCCTTCCCGAGACGCGCCGTGAGCGCCCGCAGCTCCCGCGCCGCGCGCTCCGCGACTGACTGACCGACGGACCGGGCGGCGGCGGCGGCGGGGCGGGAGCGCGCGTCGGGCGGGGCGGCCGCAGAGCCCAGCCGCGGCGGATCCGAGTGCGGCCGCGTCCGGCGGAGACCCAGAAGGCGGGGCTGCGGGCCGGGCGGCCCACAGGCTGACCGACTCGTGCCCGGCCGCTCGCGGCCCCCACCCGCCGCCAACCACTCACTTCCGGCGCAGGCGGCAGCGCCCTCCCCTGCCGAGCCCCGGCCCACTGCCCGCGCCCCCGGCCCGCGCCCCTAGCCCCGCCTGCTCACCTTCCCCGCGGGCGCCGGACCGCACCCAGTCCGGGCGGTCCTCCCTGCTCCGCCTTTCCTCCCTGCGTCCCTGGGAGTCACCTCGGGAACCTGTGAATCAGAGAATGAATGAGTGAGGACGGAAAATCCCGGCACTGTCCCACCCCCTAATCGCCTTCCCTCGGAAGCAGGCCCAACGGCCTCGGTCCGAGGACCCTGGGACGCGCTGAGGCTTTGAGCTGCAAGTCCCAGACCTACAGGCGTGCACCTTTATGCAGGAGTGTTCTAGGACTCCAGCAGCACAGCAGATGTTGTCTTAGGCACCTAAAGGACCACTGTCATTGCAGTCTGTAAGGCCTTTTACATTTTTTTTAGGAAATCCCATTTTGGCCAACAACTCTCTGCAGTTGCATGCACTATATTGGGAAGCTTTTAAAAATTGGACATGTCAATTATCTTGAAGTACTTTTAAACTTTGACATTTGCTTATCTTGCTTTCTTAATAGCTGGCACCTCCTTACTGAAATTCTTTAGAAGTAAGGTGTTGGTCCGTTTCCTTATCGCTAAGCTCTAAATTACTCGTTACTGCTTATTTTGATGCAGGCTTGACTTGTAAAAATTAATTTATATCTTTATTTTGACCTTATTCTAAAGTTGATTAAGGGAAGAAAAATAGAATTAAATCATGTTTGTGCCACTACATGCAAAGCAAGTTTGTTGACAGCATTAAAGCAGTTGAAAAGTCCCAGTCACACTGGGGTCCAGTGTGACCTGGAATTAGTTTTAGTAAATACTCCTTTTTCAAGTTTTCCCATCTGCTTGCTAAGTAAAAGTACCGGTATCTTGAATTTTCCCAAATAAAGAATTGAATGTACATTTCTGAGATCTTGGCTCTCTTTGTACAAACCAGGGTGTTCATTTCTCTGTCCTGGGGCCAAATCTTGGTTTTGCTAATTACATTGCTTCTTTCTGATATTCTTGAGGACTTTCAAATGGTTTTGCTCTTTTTTTGCACAATGTGTTCCAAATTGGTACACAGTCTATTTCAAAACGTATTTAGAGCCACACATACAGTCATGAGATACATTTCACACTTGAGCTATCTGTACTTAAGAAACATAACCACTTTTGCATAAATTGAGTACGTGCTTCAATATTTCTGTGCAGAATAATGTTATTTCTTCTATATGAAGATGGTGTTGCTGATCCATTACTATGGCCTCTGTTTCTTTCTTGTGGAATTCATCATTCATTACCTCTAACCATAATTATTTCAGTAAGTTGTCATCTTCCCCAATAAATGTAATATAACAATATGTTCATCCTTATATCTCCCATAAATAGTACCATAAGGTACTATTTATCATTGTACCTTGCACAATAAATATCTTTAAATTAATAAATGAAACTATTTTCCTAAGTGATAATTTATACACATCTGTCTAGAGCCTTTTACCCCATTTCCTTTATGACCAGATTTGTTGAGATTAGACACACTTGGGTGCCAAACCTAATAAAGCCCTATTGTCATCAAATGCTATTACTAGGCTGTGATACTACTGGACAAAGAAGAAAATTTGACTTCATTGAAATCTCCTTTAAAAATAGACCAATGATTTTTAGATAGCTCTTAGCCAACCCTCTCTCCTCTCAGTGATTAAGTTGGCCTAAACTAATTAGAAAAGGAAACAAAGTAACTTGCAGTCATTGAGAAAGTACCTAAGCATATTCTCATCAGTTCCTTTACATCATGAAATTTTTCATTCATTCCACAAGGACTTATTGAGCTCAAGCTAAGGCCTAGAAATACAAAGACAAGAAAGATATGGGAGGTGATTCCTGCCGTCAAAAAGCATATGGCCTAGTGGATAAAGGAGACAAGGAAGTCACTATTAGAATATGGAGTCCAGTCCAAAAGCAATTAGAAATGTTTTTTCTAATTGAACATCTCACAAGATATGTTTTCCACAGAATACACTTTGAGAAATGCTGACCTGAGGCAGATTTTTGGTTTATAGAGGAGAAAACTACAGCCCCTGGAAATGAAGTGACTTGCCTAAAGTTAAAAAGCTACTGCTACTGGAAGATCGTGGACTATAAAATCAGACCCCACTCACACGCTCTTTCCACTACATAATGCTTTATGAGCTACAAACTCATTCTAGCTCCATCAGTAATCATGAGGAGAAAAAAATTTTTTAAAGAATTATGTGATACATTTTTTAAATGAAGTTTGAAATCAGTAACTTTTGAAGCTATGCTAATTTTTAATGATTACTATTTACATAAGATGGGAAGATTTTTACATTAATACCTTAGTATGATCTTTTGATAATTGAACAGGATCCTTGTAAAATTAAATTAACAGACTGGGGCATCCATCTAGTCACCTAGCCCTGAGGTAGCTTTAAACAAAACAAACTTTCATGAATGGATAGAAACATTAAAACTCTTCTCAGAAATTTTAGTGTTGATTTTTCCCTGTTCCTACAAAATGAGAAAACAGGTTCTAAAATGTGCTGAGACTATGAAAATCCACACCAGGTTTTGAGTTCATCTCTGCTACAAGTTCCCAGATTTTGAATACTCCGACAGCTAAAGGATGGGAAGGTTTCATATCCTAAATTCATAGTTCTATTCCCCAGAGGAGAAATTTTTAGTACTTCCTATTTTTAGAAAAATGAGACAAATTGTTTGTTCCCAAGAGACTTCTTAGGATTACACTATAGCTTTCATTTTAACATAGCTTCTATTCACATTACCTTTGAAACTAGTTATCACTGTCTTAATTTATGACTCAGTTATTTATAAAATATCTGTTTCATTTATAAATGCTATATTCCTTTTCAGCAAGCAGACCAAGGATCACTACATGTAATATAAATATGTAGAATGAATAAAGAATTATTAACTTAGAAAGGATCAGTAGTGCTTTAACCCAGGTGACTCAGTTGGTTGGGCATTGTTCTATGAAGCGAAAGGTCACTGGTTCAATTCCCGGTCAGGGCATATGCCTGGGTTGTGGGTTCAGTCCAAGTCTGGGTGATTGGTGTCTCTAATTTTTAAAAATGACCCCACCCATTTATCAACAAGGAGGGAAACACACCCTCATGTCCTGCAGGTGGAAGTATAAATCATGGAGGAGAGTTTAGCAATAGACATTAAACCTTAAAAATATGCATTTCTTTGATCAAGCAATTTCTCTTCTATGAATTTATTTCAAGGAATAAGAATAAAACATTAGCTAGGATATTGTGGGATGATGGTAAATAATTAGAAATCCCCTAAATATACAGTGATGGGATTAAGAAAATGATAATTTCTAGAGAATAATTTTTTTGATATGAAAAGATGTTCATAATATGTTAACCAATAAAAAATTATAAACATGCCCTGCCTGGTGTGGCTCACTTGCTTGGGTGTCATCCCACAAAGCAAAAGGTCACCAGTTCAATTCCTGGTCAGGGCACATGCCTAGGTTCTGGTTCTTCCAGGTTGCGGCGTGTGTAGGAGAGGCAGCCAATCGATGTTTCTCTCTGACATCTATGTTTCTCACCCTCTTTTTCTCTCTCCCTTCCCCTCTCTCTAAAGATGAGTAAATAAAATCTTTAAAAAATTATAACTATGCACAATATGAACTCATGAAAAAACATGATATAGGAAAATCTAGAAAGAAATACAAGAATACAAAAATTTTCTATTGCAGAGTGGTGTGATTATGGTACATTCTTTAATTTTGTTATTTTTTAATGATGATTTTGTATTTTTAATTGGCAATTAAATTTAATGAACTAAATCAATATTTATGTAGTTAAATAACTAAACAAAATGTTGAGGAAAACAACACACAAAGCATTCATTATTTAATTTAAAAATTAAGTTAATTTTAATTGAAAAAGGGACCTCTGCATTTAAGAAACTGTTGATGACAGAGGAACATGAAACAACCAGAGAACAACAAAGTACTCGGCTCTGATACAAACTGAATGCAGTACGAGTTAAGAGAAGAGAGAAATTGACTATGGTTGGAGCCGGTTAGGATGACTTCATGAAAGAAATGAGACTCAGCTGGCACTTAGCATCTGAATGCCATGGAGAGAAATAGAGTTAGGTGCAGTAACACAAGGTGAGGCGAGGGCCTGGTATGACCCATGCCACACACACCTCACCCCTTCCAGTCGAATTTTAGCCACAGAACACTAGATCTTTGACTAAAAAGGTATCTCTGCTTCTTTCACACACGTGGGATTGCATGCTGTATGTACTATAAATATGTAGTAAATAGAGTATTACATATTCTTTGTAATATGTATACTTTTAAGTTATAGTAGATGATCTATGAGTAAGCTTTTGGGGGGCATTTTTTTAAAAATCTGTAGAACTGGACATTTCCAGATACTGACTTAGAACAAACACCAACTGTTATGCAAGAGCAGTTATCGCAACCTTGTGAGTGTTCTGACATTCACAATCACACCATGAAGGAATATAGCCAATCAGAACTCAGCAATCCTCTGCATACATATTACAGAGTGTTACTTTTAAGTCTGCTTTTGAACTCAATAACTGAACTACTAATAGTGATATTAGCTATACATATTAAGTGAACAAGCAAGTGACTTATGTTCAGTGCCAAATAATAAACTAAAAAGGTTATGCCCATTCCAAAAATGTCTGTAATGGGAAAGGACAGGACAGAACGTGAACTTTCATCAAGTATTCCTTCAGAGAGGGGTATTGCCAAGCATAGAAGGGATGGCGTAGCAAATGTACCAAGCAGAAAGTAGCAGGCTACTTTTAGTAAACAATGGATAAAATGGTTTTACTAGAGCTCAAGAGGTCTGTTGAGGAATAGTGAGCTGAACAACAGAAAGAAAAGGTTATGAAGGCCATTGGAGACCAAGCTGTAGGTTTGGCAAACAATGCAGCAGAATATATGATGAAGTTCATTCTTGAATGTACC